GGGCGCCCCAAGCAAGCGGGATAAGAATCTCAAAGCCTGACATGATTCCACAATTGAGCAGCTACCGTCGCCTGTGCAACAGCAGAAGGAAGATGGTAACCCTCATCATACCTGCCTGTCAATGCAGCCGACGGCCGCCGCAACACGATCAATAATGCCTCTGAGCGCGCCCCAAGCAAGCGGGATAAGAATCTCAAAAGCCTGACATGGTTCGACAAGTGAGCAGCTACCCTCGCCTGTGCAACAGCAGAAGGAAGATGGTAACCCTCATCATACGTGCCTGTCAATGCAGCCGACTGCCGCCGCAACACGAAACGAATTAGCCCTCCAGCGGGAGAGTAGGACATATATGTAGTTCAGTTTTTGGGCACGTATACAATTCGTCCTGCATGGATTGTAGGTACCTCTTCGGGCTTTGTAGCCTTTTCTTGCAAATCGTGCTTTTTTTTTTGTTCTCCTGATGGCTCTAGCATTTTTGTGACCACGGACGGAGTCTTTGCTAGATTTTGGGATTAGCAAATGACACGAGTTTAATGTGAAGATAACAACAACAACTGGGATCAGGCGGGTTGAATGTTTGCAGCAGAGAGATGCGCGACGAGGGTCATCAAACAGCCAAGGTACACATGATTCGTGATTGAGCCGACAATCGCTCTCTTCACACCCTACGGCAGCCTCCACATACACAGGCCGGCGTCTGTTCGCCGCCAAACCCTGACCAAACCGATATGGTACATTCTGTAACACATGCTTACAGCAGTTGTATGCATGGGCTACAGCAAGTATGCACAGTGGGGGCCCCGGTTTAGCGACCCCCTGTTTTGCGACATGCCCTGTTTAGCGACGCCCAAATCTCGTGACACCGCTGCACCCCGGTTNAACATCGCGGGACACGTATACACACGCAACATGCCGTGCGCCGATGGGAGAGTTGTGCAAACAGCCGGATGTTGAACTGCGGGCACCCCAGGGGCATGTGTGCCATGGTGGCTGCGGTGGATACCTGCACCGAATGTGTGAGGAGGTGGAGCATCGATCGATGCACCGCACCTGCCACGAGTGTGTATCCAAGAACATGCAAGCTTCCCCACCCGTCTCGAATCAACCCAAACGCAAAGAGAGAAAGAGGTAGATGGAGAGACGGCGGTGCGGGGGGTGGGGAAGTGATGGCACCGCCGCCCTACTCGGAGCTTTCCTCGCATTTTGGATCGCCAGAAGAGTGTGCGGAGTCGTGTANTTCTTGTGACTTCATTCTGCTGCTGTCCCGTGTACCGATCATGTTAAACTACTTCTCATATATATGAGAAGTAGTTTAACATGATCGGTACACGGGACAGCAGCAGAATGAAGTCACAAGAAGCGCGAGGTTCTTTACCGCTTGGGCGTGGACGAACTTTCTCCGTGCCATAGTGCTATTTTTTGTTTTTGGGGGAGGTTGCCAAGATTATTTCCCCTTTCCCACCTTTCTTGTCCCTCCCCTCGGTGTTTGCCATCGGGGTTGGGTTTTCGTCGCATGCCAACGACGTTGTAAAACAAGCCAATTTACTTCGTGAACTCGGCAACCAGGTTACCTTTT